TAAAAACGCAACAAAATTTATATTGAAATTCCAAGTGCTTTTTTTGGAAGTGTTGTCCTTTGGTTCTTGCATCTCTTTTTCTTCTGTTTTGCCAACATTGATCATATTGATTTTTCTTGGTAATTAAACAGAGGGAAAATTTATATTTTCAAAAAAATTCAAGGGCACGGGTTAATTATAGGATGGTATTCTGTTGTGGTGCTAGTTAGATTGGTTGCGGACAGAAGAAAGCAAAACATTTGACAAAGTCTGAGGTCGGTCATTTCAGAGCTCAAGGTGTTCCACTTAAGAGGAAACTGAAGGAGTTTCCTGTAACAAAGGATGCACTTCTCCCTGTCGGTATGTCAATTGGTGTTCGCCATTTTGTTCCAGGCCAATATGTTGATGTCACAGGAATCACGAGAGGGAAAGGTTTCCAGGTGAACTAATTTCCTAATCCTCGTTTTTTGGTCTATCCTGTGGTTGTATATATTTTTTCAAGCAAAAAAAATAAAATCCTTGTATTAAGGATCCAATCAATGAATCTACAACAGTGATAAAAAAAAGTAATACTTTCTTTAGATGATGAAATATTATGTATCATTTTTATTTTCTGTGTTCAGGGCGGGATGAAAAGGCATGGTTTTAAAGGAATGCCAGAATCTCATGGTGCATCCTTGTCACACCGAAGTATTGGTTCTACAGGTCAGCGGGATGCTCCTGGAAAGGTTTGTATGGGATCCAAATCTCCTTAAACTATTCCCATGAACTCTTTTGGAAAATCAGTATAACCAAATCTTTTTGCTTCAAATGAGATGGCTTAATTTTGTCAAATATTCTGTTGCTCATTTGTTTGTTCTCGGACATGCTACATTGCATTGACTTTCTACATACTATTGTGTTTAACCTGTTTATCTTTTCCCCCTATATGAGTAAACACTGTCGCATTTGTGTGGTCTGGAAAGTTCAATAAATGTTTTCTGTAAATTTCTTCATTGGTTTGCTATAATTATGTTTCAAGAATCAAAATTTCTGAATATTTCCGGATGCATTCTAGTTCCATTAGGTTATAAATTGTAATTGTGACAATCATATGTTTGTATGAACAGGTATTTAAAGGCAAAAAGATGGCTGGGCGCATGGGTGGGAAACAGAGGACGGTAAAAAATGTATGGGTCTACAAAATTGATCCTGCAAGGAATTTGATGTGGGTGAGAGGCCAAGTAAGATTTCCTCACAAACTTTACTTTTCTGAATTAAGTGCTCAAAATTGGATGGAAAAGGAGGAGGTTATCCACGGCCCTCTTCAATTACCTGCACACTGATGACCTTAAGTGAATGCATTTTGAATCTTATTCAACAGTAGTTTCATGAGCTTAATGGTCTTCATAAGTGTTAATAATGTTCAGGGGAAACGAATGTATAATTAAGGGTTTTGTGCCGGGTAGAGGATTTTGGTTGGTTTAATGAAATTGCTGATACACACATTCACAACTGCACAGTTTAAAAGCCATACGATTATTGGTCTTAATCCTCTTCAGAAGTCAGTATGTTGTATTGTTATTCCTGGTTTTGTGTTACTCAATTGGATGTTGTCTATTCTCACAGGTCCCAGGTGCTGAAGGGAACTTTGTGTTCATAAGAGATGCTTTCTACAAGAAACCTGACATTTCATTGCTGCCATTTCCAACTTACTTTGCTCCGGAGGACGAGGATGCAACCAAGTTAGAACCACTGGTTGCTGATCTTGGAGAGGTAGATCCATTCATGGTGGCAGATTAAGCTGGAGTGTAATCTGAAATCCCGTGAGGAACTAGGATGTTTCGTTCAGCCTAATTGACTACACTGCGGTCACGTCCTTTTTGATGATGCAAAGAGCATGCTGGCTTTAGGGTTATAAAGACCTGTCTGAGGGTGTTGAATATGTTTTTTTTTTTCCTATAAAGTTGATTTTTGTTAGAGGAATGCAGGCGCAGAGGTTGTAATATTTATATAATTGAGTTCATTTCAACCTCAGAATTGAATACTGACCGACAATGGTGTTTTTTTTGTTGGAACCATGTTTTGAAATAAATGTGGCTGACATGAAATTGTTGACTCTTAGCATGGTTGTGCTTTGAACCAGTTGAAAAGCATTGATACTTTTCCAATAGAAGAGGCTTCTAAACTCAAATGAATTGTTGCAAGATACAGAAGAAAAGGTTCAAAAAAGAAGAAAATGGAATCAATTTGTCATGCTATGGATTTTTAGTTCTGTTCTTTCTGGTATTTGTGTGCAGGATGAGATTAAAAGCGTTAAAAAGAAGAAGGAAAAATGCAAAAGCAGAAAAAGGGCTTTTGCTTTTGGAGTTTTGCCAAATTTGCATTCAAACGCAAACAGTCAAGTGTCAAACACTCGTAGACTTAAAAACCAAAACCCAATCGATGATTTTATTGACCAGCCTCCTAAAGAATTTGCTGCTATTGAGTTTCGGCTCTGAACCTCGTCCTCTCCTCGCCCCATTTCGTACCCAAAAAAACCCTAAATTCCACCTCCCTCTTCTTCTTCTTCCTCCTCCTCCTCCTCCTAGGGTTACCGTTACCCAATAATCCTGACCCTCCAATCTCACAGTCAAATGCGAGTTCAATGGCAATGAAGCGAGACCAACCCGACCTCGAGAAGCGACTCTGCGGCGTCTGCGGCTCCACTGAGCGGTGGTTCCTCCACTACGTCCGCCACAGAGGACATTTTCGTAAGCTCTGCACCAACTGCGTCCTCAAGAACAACCCAGGCCTCTTCTGCCCTATCTGCCTCGACTTCTTCGAGCACCCCCTTCCGGCACGTGACCAGGTCATGTGCGTCCGGTGCCCTTCCATCTCTCACTCTGCCTGCGTCGCAGCCAATTCCTCCTTCCGCAGCTTCCAGTGCCCTCCCTGCTCCCAGCCCACCTTCTCCTTCTTCAACCTCACCCGCCAAAACGATGGACAAGATACCAAAACGACAGTCGTCATCGACAAGGACGCCGCCAAGGCCCTCGTTGCCGCCGCCAGGATCGCAGCGGCTTTGATGACCAAAGCTGCCGTCGCCGCCAGGGTTGACGCCGAGCGCCGGGTCAAGGAAGCCGTCGTGGCGAAAAAGAAGGCCAGAGAGGCCTTGGAACGACTCACGTCTCTTGTCAATAAGGAAAAGGAGAAGGATTCGAAGAGTGGAGGCGTTGTTTCGGCGCCTGAGAGCCTCAACGCGAAGCCCAAATTGGAGGGTCCTGGGCCAATTCAAGTGGTGCCCAAGATTTCTGAGCCTGAGGAAAGTAATGGGTTGAAAACCAGTCATGCGGATCCTATGGAAGAAGACTGATTTGAGATGAAGGAAGGAGCTTGAGCTTCTTCATGGGTTCATGGGTTCGTAGGTTAAGTTTCTTTTCATTATTTGATGATGCTCAGCTTTTGCTATTTAGCTTCAGCTTGAACTTCTACACAGTCTTCTGGCAATCTGTGAGTCTCTTTGTTAGTTGCTGTTGGTTTTTATTTTTTTAAATTTTTACGCGGACGCCCTTGGAACTTTTGCAGAGACGATGTTTACTTTCCCAAGCTGATGATTCTCTGGGCCCCTTTGTATCTACATTGTCCTTCTTTGCCATAATCAGAAATTGCATTTTGTAATTCTCTGTTTTCTCCCTTTGCATACACTTTGTTTCCCAATTAGCATGAGATCTTTTGTGGTTCCTTGGCTATGAAGCTTTACCAAATATGTGTGATGGCCTTGCTTGCTTGTGTGCAAATGCATTTTGTCCGATTTTGGTGCTATTCAAGGAGATGCTAGAAAGATGACATGTTTATCAGAACTTCAAAGTTGGTGTTTCATTATGCACACTGACCTAAAATGAGTCTATTTCTTGTTCCTTGCATCTTGCAAACTCTCTAGTTACTAATGCTTTATTGAGTCAAGTTCCTGAAAGACTTATCTGGTAGTGATATGACTTTGCGTTTCCTGTTATGGTTCCAATTCATTCAGAATTTTCTCTTGTTACAGTGCTCTTCCAGAACTTTATTAGTTATACAAAACATTCTTCTTTCTAGTTCATTTTGTAGGTGCTTGCATAAAGCTTAAAATTTTATGCTCTGTTGTGCCAACTTCATGGTTACAAACCCATTTGTCTGGTTAAAGCTCAAGATTACATTGCTGTATGGTTCTCTTTTTTTTCTTTTTTTGGTCGGAATTGCTATATGGTTCTTATTCGTAAGGTTTCGATTAAAACCTATTCTTGCGCAGAGTTCTGTGTGTGCATGCCGACAACTTCACATGACTGTATTATGGAAGTCGTTTGATCTGCGGCCGATTGAATGATGAATTGACCTAGGTTCCTTTTTACATCACTGAGTCTTCAAAACTCAATTGAGTTGAACCTTCTTTTTACATCATCTTCCATGGTTTCTCTGTTTCCTGCCTAATCTATGCTCTCTGCCATGATGCTCATCTTGTCATCAAATTTCAGTTTTGCGCAGCCGCATTCCCAGCCACCCCTGCGTTTCATTTTATTTTTATTTTTGAGTTGTCAAGTTTCCTAACATGAAGGATATGTCATGTGCACGAGTGCGCTGCATGCATCCCTGTGCTTCCGTCCACCATATATATATAATATAATAAGTTTTCAATTAGAGAGAGGAAGGGTATTTCTGCATGGCAATATTTTGAGAAGAAAAGGAGAAAAGATGCCAATGAAGTCTTGAATTTTACCGGTTTCTGACCAAACAAATATTGGAATATAGCAGGGCTTCATATTTGCCTGATTAGGGTTTTTCTTTTTGGTCGAACTATATGTCATATGGGTTTGCTGACAAACAAAATGGCTCAATCATTTTTCACTGAAAGGGTTATTACTTGTACACCACATTTTTGCCCTAAAATATAAAATCCTGGATCTCACCAAGAAAAAAAAAAATAACTCTCATTTTGGCCTCCTTTTTACAAGAAAGGAGAAAAATGAAAAACAATGTGCTTTGCCTATATCAGTTCAAGGATGTGTCTTCCATGGGGAATAAGATGAGTAAGCAAAGCATATGTATTTACTATGATGAAATGTATATACAGAGAAAGGGCATTTGGGTACATAAAAATGCTATGCAAAAAGGTACTGAAAAACTGTACAGATACATACAGCAATATGCAAACAATGCGCAGGGACAAAAGGGCTCCTTATCTGTTATCACTAGCGGGGGGTGACAATCAACAGCGCCATCCTCTCTCTCATCCAAACATCCATCCATCCATCCATCCATCTTCAGATTAAACTTGTTTATTTCAATTCAAATCAATGAGGCAGCTAATCCTCCTCATCTTCATGTCTCATGATGAGTAGTTAATTGGGCTGAAATGGGATATCATGAGCTAATGTTTCAAACCAGTGAAGTAAGGCACGCCTGTGTTTCTCAACCACTGGTCACCCAATAGAAAAGGACCTGCAGTGAATTGAAGAGCCTCATTTCTGTTCCGGATCACATGAAATCCCTTCCATCTCACCCTTCCGTTGGTCACAGCCCCCGGACCCCGGTTCCCATACTCTGCAAAATACAGAGTATCAAGTGCAAAGTTGCCACTCCATTCCAGCCACCCTGCTGGTTGTATGAAGTCTCCTAGTTCTGATTCCATGATCACAGCCCTTGAGTATGTCTTCCATGGCCTCCCTAAGTATGACTTAGTCTTGAACCTCGTTGGGAACAGAGCCTGTTCGGGGACTATCCTGCAGTTCTGGATGACAATGCCTGTGGTTTCCCTCTTGTCCTGTCTTCCCTGAGCAGTCACAGTGTTTTGCTGGCCGTCCATAGGCTTTCTCACTATGATCAAACAGTTCTGGATGAGTGTTGGTGAGTCACCGAAGATGAAGTCAACTGTGCCGGAAATGACACAGTTGCGATAGAACTGGCGATGCGTTTGGACGTACAATGTGTCTTGGTACGCATCCATTCTACAGTTGAAGAAGGCTGACATCTCCGACTGGACTCGGAGTGCCACTGCCTGATGCTTCTGGGCGCCTGCTGTGTTCTGAAATCCCATTGCCTTGGCTAGAAACCCACTTCCAATTGCGGCTGTGATTATAAAGAAGAAAATGTGATTATAAGCTGTATCTATTACAAGGTTACCATAACAGCCAATCCATCCTTATCATGGAAATTGGTTTTCTGTAAAGCATTAGGGTCATCAAATTTGTTCAGCATATAAAGCGTGTGTAAATATATGTCAGGTTCACAGTCAGTTTAAATAAAGCATTATTTAGTGAACAAATTTGGTGACCGTAGCATTATTGGTATGGTATTATTAACTGGAGAAGTAACATCTAACAGGTAACTCACCGAATGTGGCGGTGTTCTGGGTGGTGATGCCATCAGCCCAGCTTTTACTTCCAGTGACCATGGTCTTCCGGGGTCCATCTCCATACATGAACACATTGACCTGGTCCTTGGTAACAGTAATGTACTCATTGTAAATCCCAGCCTTCACATATATGATATATCTTCCCTTAAGCCCCTTAGGGTATGCAGCAAGAGCCGCACCAATTGTTTTGTATTGTCCACTTCCATCTTTTGCCACTACCGCATTTGGTCTAACCTGCCCGTTGCTCTGACTTGCCAATAGCCTCCTGTCTGCAGCGCGAAACCAACTAGGGTACTGGCCTTGCTCATCATTATTGTGCTCGAGAAGTCTTCGGGAGCTGCTTGGATTCCTTAAATCTTTGTTTAAAGTGATGTTGAAGCTTTGTAAGATCTCAGAAATTGAGGAAGCAATTGCTAAGGCATTGCTCGTCAGCTGCGTGGCATTGAGAAGCCCATCTTTCATCTGTTTTTGGAGCTCTTCTTGAGGAATCCCATCAAGGCATGATTGTTGGAATGATATCACAGCACTCAACCAATTTTTCAGCTCATCCTCTCTGTCATGCATTGTGTGCATATCACCGTCCCCTACGTATGAAAACGAAGCTTGAAGATCAGCAATTGCCGATTCCAACAAGTCCTTGCAATCATCCATTGCCATTTTTCCTGTGGAATTGAGATTGCTAAATGATTTGGCAATGTTGCCAGAATTGTCTATTGCAGACTTCACTGTTGAAATGGTGGAATCAATGGCTGCTTGGATGAGGTCTTTAGCCGTGGCGCTTTCATTTTTCGCAACTTTGCTAAGGCTGTTGATGCATGCTTCCTTGTAATCAGTTGGCTCACAAATTGCAGCGACGGCCTTAGAACTTGTAGAAAGTTGGTCCTTGTGACTCTTCCTAGTGCAAACCACAGCCACAAGACCAATCACGACGCCAACAACAAGGACAATTGAAACTCCTCCTATTACCAGCTTGCCTTTTTTCTCCATAATTTAGTTTCTGATATCTGATTTTGGTGAAGAAATGGAAGTTCTAAATCATGGAGATCATGTATATATGTTATATATATATATATATATATATATATATATATATATATCTACAAAAAGGCATGCATTGTATTGGGGGCTGTCCAAATTTAGTGGTGATTTTGAAGGCCTTGTCTAGAATAAGAGCAAGGTAGATGGTGTGAAGCTTAGGACAAAAATTCCCATAATGTGGTGGTGGTTAAGGGACAGTTATATTAGTTATTGTGTATATATAAGATCATCATCTCCTACAATTTCTCCGGAATGAGTTCCTGCTCAACATTGCCTCTGTCTTTTTTTGGACTTGATGATCATACCAAAACCTACCAACAACAGAGTTCACTTCCCTACTCCCTCCCTCCCTTTAGCATGCACCCTATCTTTAGAAGGACGATACCCTTTTTTTACTTGACCTTCAAGTCAAGCAGTCTATGTTGTGGCCCAAGATATCAATCAAAAGCTCTGTGATTTCTCTACGTATATCTAGGCTTTTAGAAGATGGGATGATTGTTTTGTCTTTTTTTTATTTTTTTTATTCTTTTCACATAATTACAAATCCTATTCGAATGTTCTAAATTAGAGTTCTAAAACCCAATTACTCTTGAAATTAAACATTACATATATTGCACTAACAAGTTGACATGACAGTAATATTTCATAACAAGTTGACGTGACAGATCATTATAACACACTCATTCATATTTAAATCTTTATCACTATATAGTCTATAATCAGCCCCGAGGTCCAAGAGATTGTAATCACCCACCGTTGGATGTTAATCCAATGGTTCAAAAAAGTTTCTTAAAAAGAGTGCAAGAGTAAGTGAACTGTTGAATTTACATCTAACGGTGAGTAACCACAAATCTCTTGGACTCCTGTAATCCAAGAGATCGGGACTGAGTCTATAATATATATAAAAAAATCACCATATTATATCATATTCATTCATGCAAATTTTACGGTCGACCTTTTGTATTTGGGACATTTTGGAAAAAGCAAAAGGAGAGAGAAAATTTTTAAAAGAAGTAAAAATGGACAAAAATACCCTTATTTATTTTTAGATTTCCTAAGGAATCCAATACATTTGCATGTCTTTGATTTGAAAGTTGAGTGGTTTTTTTGTCTTTTTTGAAAAAGTTTTGGCTTTTTTCAAAAGCGAAAATTTTTTTATATCTAAAACCTAAAAAACCTTTTGTATTTGCAAATACATATTTTGGCAAATGTTTTTTAAAAACAAAACATTTTTGGGGACCCACAATATCTTATCAACGGTGAACAAAGTAGAAGGTGCTGAAAAATAGGGTGAGTATGAAGGTTCTCTCGCTCCAAAGTGAAGACAAATGACTTCGCTCCAAGTCCTTCAAGCCACCCCACCCCACCTAAGCTCGCCCAAGACCCAGATTTCACCACTACGTGGCATCGAATCATGTTCAACCATGGCCGAGCTCAAGCAGTTGCACTCCCAAGTCATCAGGCTCGGCCTCGCAGCCGACAACGATGCCATGGGTCGTGTCATCAAGTTCTGTGCCCTGTCCAAGAATGGCGATTTGGGTTATGCTCTCCAAGTGTTCGATACAATGCTCCACCCGGATGCATTCATTTACAACACCGTAATGAGAGGTTACTTGCAATGCCAATTACCCAGAAATTGCATTGTTTTGTACTCACAGATGTTGCAAGACTCTGTCACTCCCAATAAGTACACGTTCCCTTCTGTTATACGAGCCTGTTGCAATGATGATGCTATTGGAGAAGCGAAACAAGTCCATGCCCATGTTGTGAAACTGGGGTATGGAGCTGATGGGTTTTGTCAGAATAATTTGATTCACATGTATGTGAAGTTTCAGTCTTTGGAAGAAGCTAGAAGGGTCTTCGACAAGATGCCCCGGATGGATGCTGTGTCTTGGACCACTTTGATTACTGGGTACTCGCAGTGTGGTTTTGTTGATGAGGCTTTTGAAATTTTTGAGTTGATGCCTGAGAAGAACTCTGTTTCTTGGAATGCCATGATTTCCTCTTATGTCCAGAGTGATCGTTTTCATGAGGCATTTGCTTTGTTCCAAAGAATGCGAGTGGAGAAGGTGGAATTGGATAAATTCATGGCGGCTAGTATGTTATCGGCTTGTACAGGTTTAGGTGCTCTGGAACAAGGGAAGTGGATTCATGGATATATTGAGAAAAGTGGGATTGAATTGGACTCAAAACTTGCAACAACAATCATCGACATGTATTGCAAATGTGGTTTCCTGGAGAAGGCCTTTGAAGTTTTTAATGGTTTGTCCCATAAAGGTATTTCTTCATGGAATTGCATGATTGGAGGGCTAGCAATGCATGGGAAGGGAGAGGCTGCCATTGAGCTTTTTGAGAAGATGCAAAGGGACATGGTAGCTCCTGACAACATTACTTTTGTTAATGTCCTTAGTGCATGTGCTCATTCAGGGTTAGTTGAAGAGGGGCAACGGTACTTCCAGTCCATGATTGAAGTCCATGGTATTGAGCCCAGAAAAGAGCATTTTGGCTGCATGGTTGATCTTCTTGGAAGAGCCGGGATGCTGGAGGAAGCAAGAAAGCTAATAAGTGAGATGCCAATGAGCCCCGATGTAGGCATATTGGGTGCCCTCCTTGGAGCTTGTAAGATCCATGGAAATGTTGAACTGGGAGAACACATAGGAAAGAGAGTAATTGAACTGGAGCCAGAAAATAGTGGTCGCTATGTGTTATTGGCCAATCTATATGCCAATGTGGGCAGATGGGAAGATGTCGCTAATGTGAGGAGATTGATGAATGACAGGGGAGTGAAGAAGGTTCCTGGATTTTCCATGATTGAACTGGAAGGTGTTGTTAATGAATTTATTGCGGGGGGAGGGGCTCATCCTCAGACAAAAGAGATATATGCCAAGGTTGATGAGATGCTGAAATGTATAAGATCTGCAGGCTATGTTCCTGACACAGAGGGAGTGTTGCATGATCTTGATGAGGAGGAAAAGGAGAATCCTCTATACTACCACAGTGAGAAACTTGCAATTGCCTTTGGCCTACTGAAGACTAAACCTGGGGAAACTCTTCGTATATCGAAGAATTTGCGAGTCTGTAAAGACTGCCACCAAGCAAGCAAGCTCATCTCAAAGGTTTTCGATCGGGAAATAATCGTGAGGGATCGAAATCGTTTTCACCATTTTAAAAGGGGAGAGTGTTCTTGTAAAGATTACTGGTAATGCTGTCTGGTGGTCAGCTGTATAGATTTTGTACATCTTACTTAAGATATGCTGTAAGCAAGATAGGTTCATCCAAATACTGAAATTCATTTGATTGTGTTATTATTTTGATCAACTTTGTGGTTTTCTAGCACGTGAGTTTATGATTTGTCTTTGATTTGACGATAATTTTATGCTTCAAATTTCTTCCCTGTGTTAAAAAAAACAGTTTGTATAGAATTGAGTGAATGACATTTTGTCAACGATTCACCAAACCAGTTGTGCACTCACTGAGTCAAACTCACACAATTATATTGTGCAAAAAATATTTGTCTTAAATTATTTAAAATTAAAAAAACAGCTAAAAAGAACTTTGTGTTGGGTAGCCAAAGGCCAAAATTACCTTTAACCTTATTTCTTTTTATTTATTTATATTTTTTCTCAATCAATCATTGGTGGTAAATAGTAAAAACAAATAATATGTTTACCATAAAGAACAGAAACCCTAAAAAACGGCGGGTCGAGCAATCGAGTCGAACCTATTCCACTCGCGACTCACGATTCCGAACGATCCCAGCTCGTTCTTCTTCCTCCACCCAATTTTTCAAGTTTTCCCACCAATCTGACCCTCAAAAACCTAACTTTCCATCAATTTCTCCACTTTCGAGCGTATCAATCATCCCAAATCCAAATGCGCCTGACCCACATCGAAGAATTTTCAGATAGATCAATATTTCTTTATGCCATTCGTTTTTTCTAACCCAGGTAAGCAGAATTTAAGCAACCATTTAGTTTTCTGAGCTGTGTATTTTTACCTGGTTTTCAGTGGAATCAGATTATCCCCTTTCTATATATTATGGTGTTAGAAAGTTGTAGCCTTAAATTTGGGTGTTAGGAAATTTCAGCTGTGGTTTTTATGTGATTAATTGCAAAAAGTGAGTGCCAATTTGTCTGATTTTTATCTCATGCTTAAGTCTTGTTTGGTCTCAGCTAGCTACCTATGTACTATGTTTGCCGTTTTTGGTACCATTTATTGTGGCTTTTTGTTGTTTCAAATCTTATTCTGCTGCTTCAGATGCTGAGACAAAATTATTTTGAAGTGCTGGATTGAGTTTTTGAATCAAATAAACCCATTTGTTGCTTTCCAAGCTCAGAAGGAGTTGTTCTTCTGTTGAAATTTTCATTTTAAGAGTCAAATGACATTTTAATATCAACATCTATTATAAATTTGTGAAACCCCAAATTTATTTGTGTGAATTATTTGGAGTTGGTTGTGTGCTAGGTCCAGAGTTCCATTAGTAACCAGTCCTTTTTCATATTTTTTTTTTGTCGAAATCCTTTTTCATATTGTGTCAATGTATCAAGCACGTTTGAGAATCTTGCCAGCTATGTCTTTATTACTCCATGTTAAGCTTGAAAACATTTCATCTTACTGTCTTTCGTACTGAATTCTTACGTATTTCTCATTTGTGCTCGCCATGCTTTGGCCTATACGCTGCCCTTAAGCTAATGAACAAATGTATTTTTTTCAAACATCTCCTGCAGATTCCTATTTCCTGTTGCCTAACTCTCACTGTGGTAAACACCAACATCCTCTTTACTAGTGTCATTGTCGGACCATGCAACGTTGCAAGATTAAAGATATTGACTTCTTTTAGTGCTGAGGATACAGCGAGTGAATCAGACAAGGGTAGTTTCTGATATACGTTCTTAAATGGTTTAAATTGACGGCCACAATGCGCTCCTCTGGACTTGTTGACCCTGGATGGGAACATGGCATGGCTCAAGATGAG